TATTTGTGTATTGTTCTAAATCACAACAGCAGTCGTCTCGAAGGACTTCGCAAAGATATGGATTCGCCAACAACAGATCAGAGAATCAATCATTTCAAACACAGGAAATTCAATATGAACAAACACATAGGAGCCATAGAGAGCGGGATGACCACTATCTATGAATCCAGTTAATAAATGTCCTGGACCCTCCGGCATCGGCAAGGTACCACTCAAAAATCCAGTGGGAAAAATGTGAGAAAACCCATATTGGTGAGGCCAATATTGAGAGAGGGATACACTTCCACGGACTGAGGCTGTAGATCCAGGACTTAAGAGGCTCCCAGGCGGGGAGGGGATAGAGCTCACAAGGTCTCTCTGGTCTCTCTCTTCCCGATCACAGCCATAAAAGATAAAGCTGCAACTTCAAGGATTTATTTTGCGTCGACTTTAATTTGTTGACAAAAACGCACGAAAATTCAGACTAAAGAAGGACCTGGTACTGGTTAAACAGGGCCAGTGGAATTACTCCCACTACTGGGAGAGTGGAGTAGAGTAGAATATATCAGTGTAAAGTAGGGTAGAGTATAGCAAAGTAGAGTAGGGTAGAGTAGAGTAGAGTCAGGTATAGTAGAGTAGAGTATAGTAGAGTAAGATATTGTATAGTAGAGCAGAGTCGGGCATAATAGAGTCTCTGGGTTGTGGGTGAGCTGCTGCAGGATCCTCAGCGTGACTGAATAAAACATGTCCGTCTCTGCTCACCTCAATGATGGCGTTTGCGTGTCACGAGGCAAGGCACTCCGTCGCGTTATCAAACCACAAGATGAATAAGTGATGAGGAAGAAACAAAGAAAGTGTTTTAGAGCGAGGTGTTGGCGAGAAGAGCCGGATGTCCTCAGCAGAGAGGGAGGAGGAGGCTTTAAAGGAGACCACCTGTTCCACCTGGTCTCGGCATCTAACCACGTTCATGTGACAGACCTGGAGTTGTGTTTAGATCCATCCATGCAAATATCAGGCACAAACATGTAACTCTGACTAGAGAGCCTCTGCCTCAGTCCTGTAAATGTATGATGTCATTGTACCACTATGACATCACATTGTACCACTATGACATCACTAGTGAGACACTCAACACACACAAATATAAGGGCAAAAGATAAATTGTTTTCTACAGAGATAAAACATGTTGTGGTCACATCATTTCACAAAATGTCACTTTTGCGAGACTATTTCTGTTGGACAAATTAACGTGTTACATATGAGACTAAATATTAAGGTACCCCAGCTTTATATCTATGGATGTGAGTCGAACCAACCTCAACATAGTTTGTTATTTCCAGCCGAAAGTTTGGACGTTGACAAAGCAAAATGTAAAATTTATAGCCTCCAGTATTTTCTACTCAAGCAAGATACGAAATATGAGCAGCGAACGTGTGAATAATGAAGAACCCTCAGAGCCTGTGCACAGATGGACAATGATAACCCGTGAGTTCAATGGAGGCCAATAGGGAAGTGCTCATGGATAAAGTTTTGCTCCAACTCGTTCTGGCTCCTGTTATCTTACATGTAAAGATAAACTCTTCTCCTTAAGGACCAACCAGATGCCTTCATTCACAGGGGAATGAAGGCATCTGATTCAACACAAAATGAGCCTAACACCATTGGAGCAAATGCCCACATAAGAAAATTGGCCCCAGCTATATTAAGTTCAAATTTGCCTCTTCTGCATTAAAGAAATGTGGACACTCTGTAATAGAGCTCTGTAGTCCCGCCCTCCTAAGGCTCCAGAGGTAAAAGGCACCTTTTTCAAGAACACTCCTTAACTCTATAAGTACATCAGTTTAGGATGGATCTACAGCCTCAGTCCTGGATCTACAGCCTCAGTCCTCATGGATCTACAGCCTCAGTCCTGGTTCTACAGCCTCAGTCCTGGATAAAGCTGTTTTACCACAGTATTTCTCATGACATTTACTGTTTGAAATCAGAGCATTTGGACAGAAAGGACGGGGATGGAGTTGAGAAAATGCTGTTCAAAGGACGAGGAACTGCATGGATCCGTTTGTAACCTGCATCACCAGGATTCCTCTGACGCTCCTTGTAATTAGAGCAGATCGCGGCGCAGAAGGCTCCGGATCGCTCTCCTTCCCCGGGAAATATGGAGGTGATACAGAAGCGGAGAATTCATCAGAAGAGAATCATCGTTCTCTGCTTCTGGACCAGTGGCTTCTGTTTGTGGCTCTTTCAAACATCAACGTTCAACAGGAGAACAGGCTGCGTGTGACATCACAAGCGTTTAAAGGAAACGTATGATGGAAATCCATCCATTGACCATGTTACAACACTGTTAAATACAGACCTGGATTTGGTTTCAGATCCATCCACGCTGATAACAGGAAGTTCAGGCACAAACATCCCTCCCTCTCACCTCTACCCCCTTTACTTTTCTCCTCTCTTCTCTCCTCCCTCTCTCTCCCTTCTCCTCTCTCCTCCCTCTCCCCTCCTCTCCCTCTTTGCTCTGCACTCTCTCTCCACTCTCTCTCTCCTCCCCTCTCCCCAGTTCTTTAGGGTCACAGGTCCTGGTGATCATGTGCTATCAGAGCCTCCATGATGGGTTTCTCTCCTCTCTATCCTCTATCTTTCTTTCTTCCTCTTCACTCAACTCCTCTCTCCAAAATCTCCCCTCTCCTCTCTCTCTCCTGTTCCTTTCTTCCCTTCTCTCTCCCTCTACTCTCTGCACTTGCTCCACTCTCTCCTCGCCACTCTCTCTCCTCTTTCTTTCTTCCCCTCCTCTCTCTCTCCACTCGCTCACTCTCTCCCCTCTCCACCCCCCTCTCCTCTCTCTTCTCCCCTCTCTCCTCTGCCCCCCTGTCTCAGCAGGTCCTAGGAATTATGTGCTATCAGAGCCTCCACGATGGGCTTCTCTCCACTCCCCTTCCTCTCTCCTCTCCCCAGTCCTTCTGGTCTCAGGTCCTGGTCATTATGTGCTATCAGAGCCTCCATGATGGGCTTCTCTCCTCTCTCTCCTCTTTCTTTCTTCTCCCCCCTCCTCTCCCCTCTCCATGACCTCCTCTCTCCACAATCACCCCTCTTCTCTCTCTACACTCTCTCTCCTCTTTCGTTCTTCCCCTCCCCTCCTCTATCTCCACTCTCTCTCCTCTCTACACTCTCTCTCCTCATTCTTTCTTACCCTCCTCTCTCTCCACTCACTTCACTCTCTCCCCTCTACCCTCTTCCCTCCTCTCCCCAGTCCTTTAGGGTCTCGAGTCCTGGGAATTATGTGCTATCAGAGCCTCCACAATGGGCTTCTCTCCTTTCCACTCTCCTTCCTCTCTCCTCCTCTCTCTTCCCTTCTCTCTCCTCTCTCTCCCCTCCTCTCCCCAGTCCTTCAGGGTCTCAGGTCCTGGTCATTATGTGCTATCAGAGACTCCATGATGGGGCCTGGGTGACCTTCTTGTGTTCCCGCTCAGTGCTGTCTCCCGCCTCATGAATATGGATCGTCCTCCGCTCTCATTCACGGAAAATAAATAAGGAAAATAAAGACGTCAGGGCCGAGCGGAGACACACACGAGTCGGTCTGGGTCTGTGAGTGGAGGGGAGGATCTTCAGCTAACCCACCCGAGTCGGCCTGGGTGTGTGACATCACCACGTCCCAAAGAGCCTATAGTTTCACACTGGGGTAGAGCAGCTGAAAACATCTCTATGGTAACTATGGTAACTGTGGTAAGTTTCAAAAGTCAGATTTTTGTCAGAGTTTAGAGCTGATTTTTCCACATGATAAAAAAAACTTCGAACTATAATGTCCATAACTACAATGTCTGTCTGGTCACTCTTTGGTCTCATGGTCTCTCTCTCTAGTCTCCCTCTAGTCTTTCGTTGGACTGTTCACTCTCTCTTGTCCCTCTTTCTGGTCTCTCTCGCTGGCCTCTGGTCTCTCTCTGGTTTCTCTTTGGTCTCTCTTGCTGGCTTCTCTTCTTGGTCTGTCTTTGGTCTTTATCGTTGGTCTCTCTCGCTGGCCTCTCTCTGGGCTGTCTCTCTGCTCTCTCGCTCTCTGCTCTCTCTTTGGTCTTTATCTGATCTCTCTAGTCTTTCTTTGGTCTCTCTCTCTGTGGTTTCTCACTGTTCACTCTCTCCCTGGTCTCTCTCGCTGATCTCACCCTGGTCTCTTGCTGGTCTCTCTATGGTCTCTCTCCCTTGTCTCTCTTTGGTCTCTATTGCTGGTCTCTCTCTTGCTAGTCTCTGCTCTCTCTTCCGTCCATAGTTGGTCTCTCTCTCTGTGATTTTTTACTGTTCATTATCTCTGGTCTCTCTCCCTGGTCTCTCTGGTCTTTCTCTGTGTTCTCTCTCCGGTCTTTCTCTGGTCTCTGAGACTTTCCTCAAAACCCCAAAAACCTAATTTACCTTAAAAAATCGAAACACCGAACGTGTTTCCATAAAGCCTTTTGCATCTGCTCTAATTGATGTTATGCTAATGTTTGTGTTTTTCCCTTCAGCACAAACTCGTCAGACTAATGAGAACGCTCGTAATTAAAAGTACAGCTATCTCCAGCGGACCAGGCCCGAGCCATAAAGACCCAGTCCCACTGTCCAGACAACTTCATTTGAGATTCGTCCTACTCGTAATTAGCCACATTGAATAAAAGCCAGCCCCGTAATGCCCTAAACATATTTATTTAGTTTAGTTCTGCGCTCTTAAAACATTAGCGGCTCCCATTAAGCACTGAGTAAAGACCTTTGATTGCACAAAATGAAAAAGGAACAGATTTAAGCAAAGGGATGTGATTTAACAGCACTTTTCATTAGTTTTATTACAGATATTATACACGCCCTAAGAGTGGTGTGTGTATATGTGTGTGTGTGCGTGTGTGGTGAATGTGTGTGCCTGTATGTGTGTGTGTGTGTGCCTGTATGTGTGTGTGTGTGTCTCTGGCCGTCCAGTATTAATACAGTTGTTTTGATAATGTGTTATTTAAAAAAGGTGATGACCTTGTTACCTTTGCCTCACGCTCACTTCCTCCACACAGGGGCAGATGTGGCAGATGTGGCAGATGTGGACTGAGGACTCGAGGATGCTTTTTGGGGCCCCGGGACTTTTCAGGGATCTGGGCTCCAAAATTAAATCTTAGACATATCATCACACTCAGTTTACCAGGTCCTCAACCTGAACCATTCCATCAATTGAGGAAATTCCTGAGTCCGAGCCTCTGCACCACGACAGACAGGGGCCTTTCATGAACTAACTTTACTTCATCAAGAGTAAGTTCATTATTGATTTGGAGTCAACTTTACTTGTTTGGTTAATGTTACTCAATTAAATTGTGGAAATTTGTGTCATCAATTATTTAGAGAAATGTTTATCAATCGCACTTTAAAGAGCAGGGAACATCGTAAACAGATGCCTGAGCCACCTGAACTGGTTCCTCTCCAGCAGCGGCTCTACTCCGAGCTCTTCAACCTACTGTATCTCTAAGGGAGCTCTCAGACATCCTTGATCTTTTCAGTCATTACCCAGAGCTCATGACCAGATGTGAGGGAGGAACATGGAGCTCTGACGGCAGACACTGCACACGCTGCACTGAAGTCTGTTAGTCTCATCTCCACCCTTCCCTCACTGAGACCAAGACCTGAGACCAGGACCTGGAGCAGACTGGAAAGAGGATCAGGACAAGACCAGGATTTTGAGAGGACCGGATTATCAGATTGTAATTTGAAGCGATGTACACTTTTGGATTGAGTCTCAAAACCACAGTCTTTAAAGTTTATACAAATATTTGGTTGGATTATCTGTGTCAGAAGCAGCTCTGGGATTAAACTGTTGCTGTGGGCAGAAAGTGCTCAAATCTGTGCTAATCTGAGGCCAAATCCACCGTAATCCATCAGATTACAAACTCCATCCACACTCATTATTGGGCAGTGCTTCTCAACCAGAGGTGAGGGGACCTCTGAAGGTACGTGTGTGCCTCCATGTGTTACTAACCTGAAAACGAGCAAAAGAGTAAAAATGTTGAGAACAGCAAATAAGAATCTGTTCAAGATGAGCCCCGCCCCCTCCTTTTGACGCCTACAGACCTAAACAGGTATTTACCAGGTCTGTCCCAGGTCTAAATGAAGGCCAGGTTTTTTTGTATAGCACAGTTTACACACAAGGCAACTTAAAGTGCTAAACCAAACTCGAAAATGACATTCAAATCATAAATAATCACATCATAATTAAAAGGATTGAAGATTGTACATTGTCTGAGTAGAAGCCTGTCTCACATTTTCAGGAAGACTGTTCCAGATTTTAGCTGGTTAATCTGAAATGCTGCCTTCCCATGTTTAGTCCTGACTTTGGGCACCAGCAGGAGACCAGTCCCTGTGCTCCTCAGAGTCTGAGTTGGTTCATATGATTCTGTGACAGTACTTTGGTGCGAGACTGAACTAGGTCCAACCCCAACCCCAAGACCTGGACTGAACCAGGTCTTGGGGTTTTTGGTCACAGTTGTGCGGTGGGATTGAGACTTACGTTAGAAACTAAATATTTCTAACGTTGCCAGGTTTTTTGGAGGCTAAGTTGAAGTTCCTATGGGAGAAAAATGCTTTTAGGAAACAGCCTTTGAAGTTGTGTCCCATATGAATTCGTGGATGTGGGTGGAATAAACATCATTTGGTGCAAATTGGGCAATTTTGTTGTTGCCAGGTGAAAGCTAATGCACAAAACCACGATGTACGTGCTACATTACACCAGAATACTGCTCTTATTTCTGACAGAAACATGAGACATTATTCCAGATGAGCAGAGTGTGTTTACAAGTGATTAAAATACAGAATAATTCCTGGGATTTAATGAGGCGGACATAATCAAAATAAATTAGCATGAATTAGCATAAATGTGGCTCCGGTAAGTGTTAGCTCGTCAGACATGGGAAAGCAGGTTCGTAAAGCTGCAGGTAATTATGAAAACGAAAACGTCTGCCTGCGTTTGGGAGAGAGGGCAACAACAGACTGTACAGAGGAACAATGCTAACCTGCGAGCTCTACAAAGCCCGTTAGGGAAGTGCACATGGACGAAGTTTAGCATCATCTCGCTATCGCTCCTATTGACTAACATGTAAAATTAAACGCGTCTAGCTCAGTAACGGTTACTGTCACACTCACCATTTTGGGATTAAAAATCATCTGTGGTTTAGCACTTTCTGTGATCCGGGTGTTTATATTGTGATATTGTCTTTGTAGGGGGCGACAGTGGTTCAGTTGGTAATGAATTAGCCTTTGAGCCTGAAAGTTGTGGGTTCGAGCCCTCCACGAGACCTTCTCCACCGACTCCCACTGTTGTCTGCTGCCTGAAGCCCCGCTGAAAGATCAAGGCCATGATGTGACCAGTGGCGGCCGGCCAATAGAGGGCGCTAGGGCGCCGCCCCACCACTCACAACTTGCCATGTTACCTTGAATAAAACGTTAAAAAAAATAATATTAAAATATTTCGAAATTTATGTGTGTTTTATTTCAGATGTGGAAGAAATACTTTATAGTTTATGCTGAGTTGGATTGATTAAGCTCATCAGCGTTGTCTGTGTCGGACTGAGGACGTATTTCCGCCTCAGGGCGCAAAAGATTGCGCCCTGAGCCGTCTATGGACTCTCGTTAAAAGTTGTACATGCGCAGTAGCTCCTCTTCAATGCAAGAGATAAGACGATTTGGGGGCGCAGGAGAAGTGCGCCCTGAGGGGGCGGGATCGCCCGCGACCTGTACTGTCACTGTCTGTGACGTCCGTTTACAGTGATTGACAGGTCAAGCTGTGGGAGTTTGAGACGAACGTAAAGAGACGCAAAATGGAGAACGAGAAAAAGAATAATTCAGTTAGATCACTCAAAACAATACCGTTTGAGAGAAGATCATACCAGGAGAAGGTTGCGGTTAAAGAGCTTTCTCTTATTGGCTCTGTTCAGAGACTCCCTCTTCACTCTCTGTGGAGAACACAGTGGCAGTGGATCTCAGCTGGCCAAGAAACGCCGCACCCTGGGCCCCGGTGAACTTCAGAGGGTATCCACAGAGGTGAGATAGAAGCTTAATAGTAGTGCTATATTATGAGAAAGGAGGAACAAAGCTTTGAATAGGCCCTGTAATCCACTTTAATGAAGGCGCAATGTTAATTTGTGTTTATATTCAATGAACACATATTTCTTCATGACAAACAGGCAGATTGATTGATTGATAAATAGATAGTTATTACATAACTTTCTAAATACTTGTATTAAACTTACTTACTGCTGGTATATATCTAGTCATCATATTCATAGCCCCCCCAGTAGAAAATTCCACCAGCCGCCACTGGATGTGACAGAGCAGATGGACTAACCACCTGCAGGAAGATCAGGGAGAGGCTGGTGCTCTGAGAATTGGGTGCAGCTCTGCCACTAGACTCTCGCCAGACCCTTGTAGTTCGCTGTGCTTCACACATGGGTCTGGGTCTCCTTCATAGTGAATGCATTTCTGTGAAATACCTGCACAACGCTGCAGAGTCGTCCTTGTATCATTGTTTTTATGGCTGTTAGTGAATCACAAAGACTGCTATTATTTCAGAGTTTTGAAAAAACAACGGATAGGGCCATACTCCCGCCGTGGTGGTCCCAGGCGCCAGTGCGGCTGAAGACTCTGGAGGTGTGAATGTGGATGAATGACTGTGTGATCAGAACTTCTTCCTGTAGTCAACCACGCTCCAAGGAGAAAATGGTTTACGGCTTTAGATAGATTGATAGATAGTAAACACAACAATTCTGACCACTGCTGATATGTAACTGGACACAGACTTTCTGATCATAAATGTCCTCCTATCCCCCTCACAGAGAACCACTTCCTGATGAAGGACCTCTGCACCGTAGTCTTTCTCTGGTCCAGCCCCGTGCCAGAGGATGTGGTGTTGCTGTTGTTGCTGCAGCTGCTTCCGTCTGGGTTCAGTCCCGGTGCAGGCTGCAGCTCCTGGTTGGAGTCCAATGATTTTAATTTGATTCCATGTCCTCTGCAGCCCTGGGTCCAGAGTCTGTGTGAGCGCAGTGACCTCATGTGTTTGAACGCACACAACTGTTTGGATTGGTGTCACAGCTGGTCTCTACTCTCCCTTCTCCTTCTCTCCCCACTCTCCTCCCCTCACCCATCTTCCCTCTCTCTACACTCCCCTCTACGCTCTCTTCTCTCTCCTCCTCCCTTTCTACACTCTCTCTTCTCCTCTCTCCTATTTCCACAATCCGCTTTCCCCCACTCCTCTCTCTCCTCCAATCCACTCCCCTCTGTCCTCTCTCCTTCACGCCTCTCTATCTTCTCTCTCTCCTGCACTCCCCTCGCTCTCCTCTCTCTCTGCCACTCCTCTCTACACCCCTCTCTCTCCTATCTCCCCTCCACTCCTCTCTCTCTCCTCCCCCTCTCTCCTCTCCACTCCCTTCTGTCCTCTCTCCTCCCGCCTCTCTCTCCTCTCCTCTCCCCTCACTCCTCCCTCCCCTCCACTCCCCTCTCTCCCCTCTACTTCCCTCTCTCCCCATCACTTCCCTCTCTCCCCTCCAAATCCGTCTCTCTCCTCCACTCCCTTCTACTCCTCTCCTCTCTCCCTCTCATCTACTCCTCTCTCCCATCCACTTCCCTTTCTCTCTCCTACACTCCCCTCACTCCTCTCTCTCTCCCCTCCCCCTTCTCCACTCCTCTCTCTCATCCACTCCCCTCCCCCTCTCTCCTCTCCACTCCCTTCTGTCCTCTCTCCTCCCGCCTCTCTCTCTTCTCCGCTCCCCTCTCTCCCCTCGACTCCTCTCTCTCATCCACTCCCCTCTCCTCCCCCCTCCACTCCCCTCTCTCTCCTCCCCCCTCCCCCCCTGCTCAGAGCTGGTGTGTTTGACAGTACATTTTCATGGTTGGATTCCTGCACCAGGGGAGGCTCTGTTTCAGGCCAGTGCCACAGATTAGCCCCTGGTACAATAATTATATTAGAGCGTGCAGGGATAAAGAGGACAGTGTGGTTATAGAAGAGCGATGAGGCCGCGCTCTGGCCTTCTGCCCTGATTGTGTCGACAAAGGTACAAGCACTTATCAGCCCCTCAGCTAAAGGGAGATGTGCTAGTGACTTTATGAGCTTTTTAACGGCGTTACACGAGAACAAAAG